ATGGATGTTGTAGCAGTCCCATAAACAAAATTTAAAAGTTCTACGCTTAAAAATGGTTTTTCAGGTACGCGAGATACATACGTACGCACGAAAAAAAAATCTTTCTGAATCTATTTTAAATCCACTTTACAACCCGTTTTGAAAAAATGAGTCCTTTGTTCTGTCTTTTCCTGCAGAATCTTGTACAGGTGCCACGCAAAAAAAAAAAAAAAAAAAAAAAAAAAAAAAAAAATCATTCAAATAAACTCGAGAGCAGTCAAAATGGATATTTTCGTTAAAATACGATACCTGAAATTTTTTGCGATTACAATATTTCCTTTATTTCGTACAAGGAAGTAAAATGTGAAAATAACGGTGCGTACAATTATTTCATTGGATATTCTGTCTTAAAATTATGCTTTTTATGGACTTTGGAACGGATTTAACTAATATTTTGGTGTGAGAATATTGCTTTATTCTATTCCTACGTCAGAATTGCTTTTAGTAGAGCTTTCGAAGGGATATCATATTTTCTTATTCTTTTTTTCAATTGATTCTTTGCATGTTCGACTGGATTTAAGTTTGGAGAATATTTAGGTGTTTTGGCACTTTCAAGGCACTTTGATAATAACCACAAGCGAATATTTAGGGCTGTATGTTTAGGGTGGTTATCTTGGTAGATCTTGAATTATTTTGCATTCCAAGTTGTCTTCCAGATATTTTCAGGTTCTCATTAAAAATATTTACATATCCATTTCATCATTTACTCCGAGGTGGACTCATCGATTTGAAAAGTATCATTAATAGCTTTGACCGGTTTCAATAATTCAAATAACATCAAAAGGTCAAGATAATTTAAGTACTCAAATAACTGTATAAAACATGTCTATGTAAATTAAAAATAATTATAGCTAAACAGGCAAAAGAAATTGAGCGAAAAGAAATGCCTAAAGTAATGATATTGGAATGTTAAAATTAAAACAAAAATATTTTGAAATTGTTAAAAGTATAAAAATTTAAAAAATTTAAAAATCAAAATGGGATTGCCTGTAAAAAAATCGCAAAGCAAACTTTTAATAAAGAATGAAAGTGAATAATAAATATAAAATTTTAATAAAGAATAAAATGGAAATAAAAATACGCATGGAAAAGCTAACTTTTATTTTGTCAAGAGGAGGCCAGACATTGAATGACAACAGTTCTTTTCCTGCAGAATCTTGTTTACTTCTGTACACTTAAAAATTAACGAAAGTACCAAATAAATAAGCAAATGAATATATGATTTTTAGTAACTCCAAAAATTAAAAGAGCTTCCTCTACAAAAAAAAAAAAAAAAAAAAAAAAAAAAAAAAGAAAAGAGAAAAAAAAAAAAAAAAGGCTCTGTATCTCAATTTTTATAAAAATGTTATGTAAATTTTAAAAATATATGTAAAAGCTACAAGGTATACAGACAATCTGGACTTTGAATTATTAATTTATTTTAACAAAATTAACGAAACTAACTGTTGAATTATTTTCAAGTGGACTGTAATATAAATTTAACCCTTTCCGGCACGCTCCCTTTCCATTTTTTTTTTTTGGGGGGCCCATCAGCGGCCTAGCGGTAAAGTCGCTGAACACTGGTAGTTCGGTCCGAGGTTCGAATCCCGCGAACGGTCTGTCTGCATGGGCGTTTTCGTGGTTTTCCCCATGTCTAACGTGTATACGAGCCAGTTCCCTTAGAAAGTCCTCCACGAAGGCATCCGTCCCCTTAGCAGATAGCCCTAGTGCGCTTTGCCTTAATTAAATACGCCACACCACCACAACACCTTTCCGTTTTGATCAAAAAAGTCGGAGTTTTGATTTAAAAAAAAAAAAAAAAAAGGTCGGCAGTCTAATTAGGTCTAGAGTAAAATTAAGATTACACAAGTAAAATTTTGTACATGTTTTTACAACGTCCTTGACATTGCTGAACTCAATGCTTGGATTATATTCAAAGAATCCTTGGGCACCTCTATTTCCCGTCGAGAATTTATTCTTGCACTCATGGAAGAACTGCGAGTTGGTGCACTACGCAACAGATGCCCACAATTGCTCAAATACAGACACTTAAAGGAAAGAAATGTGCATTTTAAAGTTGCAAGGGACAAAACAAGACTGTTGTCAGCTGTGAGGGATGCCAGAAACCAATTTGTGGTAAATGTGTTGCTGTCACTGTCAAGCGTTCATATTGTATCACCTGCGGTAATGTATAACAAACTTTGGAAAACATTGCGTGTTTATTCCCAATTTATGTTTTTTGTAATTGTTTGCATATGTTCTATTTTCCTCTTTTTGCATTTGTATCTTTTGTTTGTTTTTCAAAGATTTTGTTCTTGTTTTTGTAATCTTATGTTGAAAGATATGTGCTAATTTGCGCTAATTGCACGAAAAAAAATTCTAAAGTATAAAAAATAAATAAAAACCTCTAAAAACTCTTTTATGTAGTCATTTCAGCATCATTTACTGTGTTTCTACTTACATCTCTTCTTTGCCTAAGGACAAAATGATGCCAAATATCAAATGTATATATAACAGGACTTAAATGGATTATGGAACATATAATCCAAAAAGAAGAAGAGTTCATTGTATAATTCATCTGTATATCCATACTATCCATCTGTATAACGAGTTATGTATGAGTACATATGTGCTTATACATAACTCAATATACAGACGTTTAAAGAGTTATAAAGATAATACATAACTCGTTACACAGTTGTTTCACATACATCTCTACAAACGATGTATGTGAAACATCATATGTAGAGATTCTTCTTTACATCTGTAAATATTGTACATAATGTACATATTTTCTTTCATCATTGTTTGTATCCTTATATTTGGCTTAATAAAGGAAGAGTGGGTCCACGAACGATGTTGACGAGGTCGACAAATCTTCCAGTGAGAGAGTTTTCTATGTCCGTCATGCCTTCAGCCTTAACAGGCCGCATGGTACTGGTGTATGCCCGGTATTCCGTTTTGGCTATCTTCAGGCAATGGGTTCAAAATTGTATCCCTCGCAATGTTCTTATGTGAACAAGGCTTATTATCAAAATTTTAGTTAGTTAGTTAGTTATTCTCTCTAAGCAACAATAAATTCGTAAATAATTCTTTTCTTGCTAAATCAAGAAACAAAAACTTTAGGCATACGTATGATGTCATGATTTAAATTTAATGTAAAACAACAATTTCTCAGTATCAATAAAAGAATTAACGGGGTAATAACACACCATGTCAGTTATCTTAATCTGAAACAAAAAAAAAAAAAAAAAAAATTACCAACAGCAGCCATTTATTTAAAATGCTGACATTAATGAACAATTTTCAACATACAATGATCTCACATGTAATTGCATGCTTTCTTGAATGCCAGAACATGACATTATATAATAAAAATATGTTTGAAGTTTGGCAATGCTTTTTTTATTTCATATTTTGTAAAACTTACAAATTTTTTATTTAACTCTACAATCTGAAAGTGAGCAGTGGCAACAATTTTCTTAATAAAACATTTTTGTTTCGAATGCACGAGACTGTTGCAACTCGCAAAAAAACAAGTGCGAAATTTAGTGTTTTCAGAGTTTCTAATTAATGTTTCGGCTGCTTAAATTCGAAATGGCTTCCCACGAATTTTTAGAATCAGAAGCAATATATTTAATGTGTGACAATGCTATTTTTATATTTTGTAAAACTTAGAAACTTTTTATTAACATACTCTACAATTTGAAAGCGATCAGTGGCAACACTTCTCGAAATAAAGCAGACTTTTATCTCCAGCATGTGAGACTGTTGCCACTCGGAAAAATAAAGGCAAAAATTAGCGTTTTTCAGAGTTGTCAATTAATATCTCTGTTAAAGTCGTAGGAAGATGAGAATAGTCAAAATGGCTTCCCATGAATTTTTGGAATCCGAGGGTACCTCGCTCGGTATTCAACTCCCCGCCGCTCTGGAGAAGATAATGCCACAATCAAACAGACTGACATTCACAGACTTTAATAGTACAGATTATGTGCAGGCAAAACCACAAAAACACTGAGCTCGGTTGACTACCAAATTTTTGTAGCTGCATTAATTGGTAAGCTGTCAGTGGAACTGAGAAAATTAATTGGTTATGACAAAGTAAACAAGTGCTACCTTTTTAGAGAACTTTCTATGAGGCTCATATTTATAAACACATAAGGAAAACTAAAAATGCCATGCAATGAGACATTTTGCAGGAAGCTGAACCAGAACAAACTTTGAGTATTCTTATACCCTTGGCAACTGGTGGGCACTGAACCCCCGAAAAAAGCTTTCACCATACAGTGGTTATTAACAGAGAATTGTAGATTAGCATCGGTGATGAATGGCACCATATTGCAAAGATTAACAGCATATTTTTGAAAAACATATCTTGCATAAACACTAAAACTATAAAACAAATGTATCTTAGGACTAATAATTGCATACTATGAAAAGTTTGATTTGGTTTATTTCATTATGGCAAAGCAAGCAAGGACTATGGCAGTGATGCCTTTGTGGAGGATTTTCCAACAGAAACTGACTCATATCCATACTACATAAGGGGAACACCACAAAAAAGCCTATGCAGCCAGTCCATTTGCTTGGAATTTAACTCAAGTTGAAAATTTTTAAAAGAATATTTTATTTTCATTCTTAATGCAGACAAATAAGATACATGGAACATATTGCCTCTGTTCAAGACCTTACAAACTTCATGAATATATAAAACTTTAATGAAAAATAGGTAACTAGAAAACCAAGCAAAAATATCTAATTGACAAGACAAATGTTTCAGAGTTCCCAAATACAATACTTGTTTTCATGTACTAAAGCTATATCAAAAGCAAATCCCCTCTTTTTTTAATCTTTTACAAATTTAGAATTAAAGAGGCAATAACAGTGGCAAGAATTTTACTTATATTTATTTCTATTGCATACATTAAAATAACAAAATGCATTAATTCATTAAAAAGAAGAAATAAATTTCACCAAAGACATTTAATTAAAAAAAAGTTTATTGCATTCATTCACACACTTTTTCTACAAAGCTCTATGACAAGATAGGAATATCAGCAGAATAGACTTTTATCACATACACACTTTGGACAAATAAAGTGTTAGAGCTATGAGCTGCAGATCTTAAAATTGAATAATCGCTGACACAAATCTTCCAATAAATACAATGCATTATTGCTGTAGTACAGAGTATAGCTTAAAAACAATACATGAAGATATTTAAAATTTCACAAATCATGAAAATTACAATCTACATCTCTAAAACTTATGAAAAAGAACTATTATATACTATATAAATCTATTCAGGATAAAAATGTCTGTATAAGCATATAAGCATTAACACAAGTGATACAAATTTCCAGTTTTCTGTGGCACTGAAATTTTAGTTTCTGGAACCAGAGAAACCAGTGTCAATATGTTATAAGGTTAAAACGCACAAAATCTGCAATAATCAGTCTTTTTTGTTCCCAAAATTTACACATTTCAAATTAAGGAAAGCTAAAATATATAAACTGATATTCAGTGTCAAAAAGAGTTTGATTTCCAAACATAGAATTGCAGTGAAACGTATGTTATACAGCTGTGTAGCAAATACTCTTTAGTTACATAAAAAGGACTTTACATGTGAATGACAGCTTGGCTAAAACAAATTGATCCTAATGCAAAAATAACTAACTCTAAAATTTTTAATTTAATAAATTTATCACAAATGTTTTAAAAACACAGGAGAAAATGCATTTGGAGATCACAAAATCTTGAGCATTTTAACCAGATATACATTCATAAACACAAGCTACACAAGACAATAAACAGAATCCCTTGAAATAAGCAAGAAGATTCATAAAATAAATAGAATATTATACATCAGATCTTTGTTGGAAAATGCAACATCTAAAAGAAAGGAAGTTCTTTGCAATGATTCAAGTAAGCACACTTCATTCAGTTATCACAATCATTTTTTTTACACACATTTCCCAGAATTGCGAGTCACACATAAGCACATGTGTTATGTTTGCTGCTCACTTTCAGTTTTCAGAAATTCTTCAAAATTAGCTCCTACATCAGTCAAACTGCTACTAGAAGAATTTGGAGATGAGGGAATTTGGGCCGGACATTCGAAATGCACACAGTGAAATACCTGTGAAGAAAATTTTATATCACAATACTTCATACTTATAGATTTATACACATGTAGTCACATATAAATTTCTAACAAATAAATTGCCTTATGTATATAATTAAGTTTAAAGAATATATTTCTGTAAGATGCTGATACACTTTACATAATAAATCTGAAATCAAAGTGTAAAATTATAGCTCAAATAAATATGATCTTAATTACGATTGTTTAAATTCTTTTTCTATGCTTTTCACACCTGTATTACGTAAAAGAAAATCTGTTCCATAACAGCACTAAGCAACCAGCATATTTTTGAATTTCAAAGGAATACACTGTGCTATTTAATTAAATTAATTTTTAAGTATATATGTTACTGAATAAGACCAAAGTTACCCACTCTGTAAAATGGTTTCACTACTTGTAACTTTTGTTAGGCACATGAACTAAAATCAGAATATGCAATAATTTAACTGTTTTGGCCATTCTTTGACCAGTTCTAGACTTGGCCACAGATACTAGTCAAATTTAAAAGTTATATTGCTTTAAAGGTTTTCACAAAACATATTCTTAGTGAATGAAAAGTATGTATGTTACTAAATTAATTTTAAAAGTTACATTTTTAAGATCAGTTAAAGCATTATTACATAATTCAAAATATTTATGACAATTTTCTCGGGCCAAAAAATAAGATAAAAATGACTTTTAAAACAAAAAAACAGAAATTTGTTTCTCAAAGGTTGATAAACAGATGATGTTCATAATGTTATGATCTCTTTCAAGAAGATAAATGTATTTAATGGAATTTCCCAAAATACATTAAGCATTGCAATACATTATGATATCACATAGTTATGATTTATTTGCTTTGGCAAGTGTTGCCACTACAACAAATGTATTATCCCATCACTGGTGAATTTCCTCCCACAGCCCACTGCTAATCGACCACTTTGATGATTACTACAACCTGAACATAAGCTGATCCTCAGAAACCAAAAGCCATAAGGTAACCAATTGCTTAGTTAATTAAACAGATAAAATATTTTTGGAATTCCTAATCAAAATTTTTCTATAACATTAATAAAGACAGCATTCTGAAATTATTTAATTTTGTGTTTAAACAGAAAATAATTACAAAACATCAATTAATTTCTTTAATTATAATGTTATAAATAACTCTTAAAAGTTTTCTAAAAAATACATTTTTTAACTATGTATTCACATATACATTAACCTTTATTTTTGTTTTAAAAAATAAAATAATTCAGCAGTTCAGTGAATAAACAGATCTCAAGTATGCAATATTACAAAGCAGAATCTTATTATATGAGCCGCTTGTGTAGCCAGCTGTCTATGAGTACAGCTACTGTAATTTCGTAAAAAATATTTCATATTTCTACATAGACATCTCATAACTTAAATGCATTTTTATTAAAATCAATCAAATTAACAAGTAAAAAAATATTAAGAATTGCATTTATTGCTTTCAAATCATTTAGTTTGTTAATGATTAAACAGACACATAAATTAAATCTGAAAGTTAAATATTTTATGCTTTAATAAATACTCACTAGTGCAGGAATGATAAAAGTATTTTATTTTAGGCAATGGCAATTCATTGCTTTTAAATAGCAATTTTTTTTTATTAAAACTGAAAATGAATACCTTACATTTTGCCAATTGCAGCAGTCTGATGCAATGGAGATAAAAATGCTTTATTTTGAACAGTGTTGCCACTGCTTGCTTTCACACCATTGACATTATTTATCAGAAATTCATCAAATTTGCACAAAATATGCAATAAACAAATAATTCAACATTCCTGTTTCAAGGTGAAAATGTTCAGGTGCAAGACAACATGTTCAAAATTTGGTGGATCTAGACACTGCCAATTTTCCACAATACAACATACAAACATACAAAACAGAACACACATATTCTTTATTATTTAATAATACAAAATGACAAACAAGAGTAATACCATTAATTAGTGCAACAAATACAAGGAATTACAAGGCAAACAAAATTTGAATTTTTTGTCTAATGCCTAAAAAAGAGGACAAAAGGACTAACTTCTTAAAACTGTTTTCGTAATTAATTTTATCACATTTAACTCTAAAATAAAATGCGTACTATTGTTATTCATAAATTAATTACAATAACTTCCTATTCATTAAAAAGTAGAAAATTCATTCTTCATTTTGAATAGTAACGAGAATCAATTGTTTTGGCTATTTTTATTAGAAGATTCTTCAAGGTTTATCAATTTAAGTTTATTATTAAGAAAATCTATTTAGAAACAATAATCAGACTAAAGAAATTTATAACTGACGGTTTAATGTCAGATTTATTACATTAAATGTATTGATACAACATACATAACAATAGCACAGTACTGATAGGCAAAAAGTATTTGATCACTTTAGTAAGAGAAAATGCTTTGCATATCGCTATTTTGATAATTAAAACTTCTCAGAGATACTCAGATGTTACTTTACAGTGTGATACAATTGGGCATAGACCTAACTATAGTCACATAAGACTTGCTCAAATGATGGTTAATACTTCACCTTGATAGCTTTTTTTAAACTTTTACACAAAAGCTATTAATATTTATACTAAAAAATTTATTGTAAAAAATATCTTAAGATAACGAGAACATTCAGTATATAATTTTATGATAAAGCAGAATTATTTTTTCTCAACTGATTTAATGTGCATTTTGTAGCTGGCAGGGAGAAATGTCTTCTCAGTTACAAGTCATATCAAAATGAGCATGGATATGTTATAAGTCAGCTAATTTATATTCCTATTCTAAACAGCTACCAATCAGCATTATTACATCACTGAAAATTACATACCAAGTATTTTGCTACTGGACATATATCCATCAACATTATAACTAACCACACAGAAAAGATTTTAATAAGTATTTAAAATACACATTTATTTCCTTTCTATACAGTTGTTATAGTTTCTATACAGTTATATAACTCCCAAAACAGCATTGACACAATTTTATAAACTTTTCCCAAATGCCCCCAGTTCATAAACTGTAACTCTTAAACCGGCATTATAAAAGACAGATGTGTTGCATAGAAATTCAAAACAAACCACAGCAGATTTATCCCCCAAATCAAGCTAAGTTAATATTTTAAAAGTACCACTATTATACTAATTAATTTTTTTAAAGCTTTGATTCGGTCATAAGACATGTGTTAAGGCAGAAATGAAGTGCCGCCATGATCGAATGAATATTGTTTAACTAGAGTGATCTGGCAACCACGAGTAGAAAACGAAGAATGTGGAAGGCTAGCGGCCATTGATTGAGGGTGTGCTAGTAGTTTGAGTTGGTAAGTGTATGTGTGCGGATGGCAAGCGTGTCCATACAAGTAAGACTATGTAAGTGCTCTTGTGTTTAATATCTGTTAACAGAAGTAAAGTAAGATAAAAGAAATCTACAGTCTGTTGAATTTAGTGTTTGAATTTCATGAATAATTGTGTGAGTAACTTCTATTCTTGAACATCATGTATAAAAATAATGTATTTCAAGATATTCTATGTTTAATTTCACAGTAAAATATTTAGTTCTAATATTTATTTAATCCATTTTCTCATAAAAAAAAAAAAAAAAAAACCTTATATTTAAAACACCTTTCCTGCTTTTTCTCCTTCTCAGCCCTAAAGCAAGGAATAATACTACAATTTGGCTTTTATGGTGCATAGGTAGATGATTTAAAAAAAAAAAAAAAAAAAAAAAAAAATATGTTACCTGCTTTAGGCAGCTATACATTGAAAACTAACTGAAATTTGAATAGCTGGTGTTATGCAAGTTTTGAGTTGTGCACAAGCCTATAAGTGATTTGCAAATGACGTAAGCAGCAATTTGACAAGATAAGGAGTGCTGCTCATGGTATCAGTAATAGTAAAAAAAAAAAAAAAAAAAAAAAAAAAAAAACAGTATGAGTATGAATCTAAGCACATTTGATTGGGGTTTGACGAATGGCTCATTCCATTTCAAAAGTAATGCAGACACTTGGATTTTCATGCACCACTGTGTCAAGCATGTACCATCAGTACATCGATTCCAGTAAAACCATCCCTGCAATCATCAGCTGTTGCAGACAACAGCCTGTCGATAACCAGGGTCATTGTCAGACAGTTCACATTGTAACAGCGGATAGGCAGGCAACAGATCACCTGTCAACTTAACACTGGTGCACAGCAACATGTAAGCTGCCACATCATACAAACCCACCTGGTCTCTATGGAGCATCCTACGAGAGTCCCTCTGCTGACTGCACAAAATGCGCCACAATGATTAGCATGGGCATGGGAACATTGCCAATGGACCATTGGAGATGTGGAAAAATGTTGCCTGTAGTGATGAGTTGAGATTCACTTTGGTACATAGCGATGGCAAAATATGTGTATGGTGTAAACTATTGGGTTGGCAACTAAGTGATTGCAGATTTCACTCATAGATGGCTTCAGTTGAATTTTTAGGGTTGCAGACGTAGTACAAATGTAAAACACATTTTGTTATTTGATAGTTGGCAATTCAGCTGTCAATCAGTAAAAAAAGCTTTTTGATCGGTTGCGCAGTTTTCGTTTGGCGTTCGTTGAAAAATGGAAAATCAAAAGGAACATTTTCGTGATATTTTGCTTTTTTATTTTCGCAAAGGGAAAAACGCATCGCAAGCTCATAAAAAGTTATGTGCTGTTTATGGTGACGAAGCCTTAAAAGAACGGCAGTGTCAAAATTGGTTTGCCAAATTTTGTTCTGGTGATTTTTCACTCAAAGATGAAAAACGCTCTGGTCGTCCAGTTGAAGTTGATGACGACCTAATCAAAGCAATAATCGATTCGGATCGTCACAGTACAACACGTGAGATTGCAGAGAAGCTTCATGTATCACATACATGCATTGAAAATCACTTAAAACAACTTGGCTATGTTCAAAAACTCGATACATGGGTTCCTCACGAACTGAAAGAAACGCATTTAACATAACGCATTAA